AGGAGCTTGTTCATTTCATCCATCACACAAAGGTCTATAGCCTCTAAGATATCTTCACAGATAGAAGTTTTTCAAAGATGAATAGCTTTTTAAAGTATTCAGTGGCAATTTGTTGAATTTCCTTCTCCTCCTCACCCCAAACACCATTCCCATCTTCTAAACCCCTTAAAAGTGTTTTACATTTTCTTGATGAAGCTTGCCCATGGAGTTCTCCTCCCTCAGCCAATGCACTCAAGCCCATTGCATCCAGAACATTTCTTCTTTTTCCAAGTATGGATTCAACTCCTCCTTTAAGTTTTGCTTTAGCTTCAAGGTTGCATCTGTCATGTATGTATTATGCAGTTGTTGCATTTAATTTTATCAATGTCCTCTCTTAGTGCACTGAATGTTGATGTGTGCCAATTCCCCAACATACCACCAGCATGCTACATTTAATCTTGAAGGGATTCCTTGGTATTACCCTCCCACGCATCTTTCACTATCTGTTTACATTCATTTTCTTTAATCCACATCACCTCAAACCTGAATCTCTTCTTGATCTTTGGATCCTTCATATGGAGCTTCTCCTTTCAGTATTCACCACAATGGGACAGTGGTCAAAGACAGATGCATCTAGATGTCAAACCTAATAGTTTGAAAATAACTCACCCCAGAGTTTGTTGCCAATTCCTCGATCAAGTCACTCACGAACATTATTTAACTGCAGCTTTCCCCTCTCCCAAGTATACCATCTTCCGCTAAAACCTAAATCATCCAGTCCACATTAGTTATAGCTTATATGCATATATATATATATATATATATATATATATATATATTAAGTTCATATAGTTAAAACATTGTCTAAGACTATGCATGATAAAATAGATAATGAATAATTAGAAAACAAATAAGAAAAGGAAATAGTAAAATTAAATAGAGTTGCTCCAAGTCAATTTGTTGATTATTAAAACCAGTTTCTTCACTCCCTAAATCAATTGGCCCAAGTCACTTGTCTCTAGTCACCCCCACCTTTTTATCTTCTTTTTTCTTCTAACAATGCAAAGAAAGCTAGTAGCTCCCCCTCCCAAAAAACTTGCAATGTTGCTTTTCAAATTTTTATCAACCACATTGGTGTTGGACTTGAATCCGCCAGCAGTGAATTTTCCCCTATTCAAAGCAACATGGAATTACCAAATTTCATCTTTGAACTCTTCTTAGCCTCCTCCTCTTTTCTTTTCTTTTCCGACTTTTTCAACCTAACAGCCAATCTACCAGCAATGCCATCCCTTCGTTTTCTGACCAAAAGTGTTGTCTCAGGTTTGGTCTCACTGGCAACAGAATTTCCTTTCCCTCATTCTTTCACCAATGACGTATCTACTTTTCTGGGCAAGACTGAAAAAATGTCCACCATCTTAAGCCGTCGATGACCTCGATCCACCATCAGTGATTCGACCCAGAATTTCGCTATTGCTTCTTGCGTTGTCTTTTGGTGATGTTCGTCGATGTCCACTATGATTTTTATGTTTATTGTGGTCCTTGTTTGTTGTTTCGAGGTGGAAGGTCAAACTTGATTACAGAATTGATATTGAGAATTGAGCTTTTCTTTTCTTACGATGGGAATTGAATTTTTGGTGGACGAACTTGAAGCTGATGTTTGCTACTGTTATGTCGTGATGAATCAGTGTTTTTATGAAATCATCGATGATGATTGTGGTGGATTGTTGCCATTTATATAGGCATTTAGTCCCCACTTATTTAGAACTCTAAATCGAAAAAGGATTGATTTTTTAAAATTATCTCAGCGTTTATCTTTAAAAGATTTAATTTTGAAATTTTATTTTCTCAAAGATCAATTTCAAGAACATCCAAATCTCATCTCTTTATTTCGTATTTTTCTAAATGTACCGTTTTTTCATTTTCTTTATCTTTTCTCGATTTTTCCGATTTCAATTTTTTTTTTTAAATTTTTTACGGAAGAAATAAATAAAATGAAAATAAGATAAGATTTATGACTAAAATGAAAGTTAGACTTGGTTTGGAACCCATACAAAGCCTAATAATACAACAAGGGCCATGTTACGGCTTACACTCAAATACCAATTTTAACTCCATAAATCAAATGAAAGCCCAAAAATATTATTAAACAACAAATTTAAAAATGATCTCCGATTAAATAGAATGTTTATAAAATTTATTTTTTAAAATTTAGAGATATAATATTCGTATCTGTTAATTTTTACATATTTTTTGACAAATTTTTTAATTTTTACTAATAAACATAAATATTTTGTCAAATTATATAAATTATGTGTCTCGTGTATTAATTTTGTATAGTAATTTTTAAAGATTAATTTCATATATTAATTTTTAAAGATAATTAAAAAACAAAAAAAATTTCTTAAAAGCATTATATAACTTCAAAAAACTATTAATTGACAATGCTTAGCTCAATACAACATGAACAATAGTACGGCATAATATGACCCACAAGGGCTATAAATCATGTGTTGTATTCGATCATATTCTTAATTTTTATAAATAGTACAATATGACATATTAATTAATAGTGTTGGATTGACATGATTCATTAACATATGAATTAATTTTTTAATGGATATGCTGGCCCAATATACCCTATTTGACACCTCTATATCGTACACAAGAATACAGCTCTAAGGTTGATCAAGTTGCAAAGGTATATTAAGAAATATCGCCATTGTGTTTCTTAAGGCAACTATTTAAACGGCTTTTCAAGCAAGAAGTTCCACTAAAAGATTTAGTTGAAAAAGTGGACTAACAATGGTTACGTTGTGCCCTCATCAACTTTTTGTCCTCACATTCAAGTTTAGTCATCTGATCCCACACCTTCGATTTCATTTTTTGCGCTCAGAATACTTTCACACTCATTATACCCATCTTTCACATTTATGAGATATTTGAACTTGCCATTGTCATATAAGTCTAATTTGTGTTGGACAGGCTTCGATAAGTTTGAATAATTTTGAAAATTTATAAATTATAAACATTTTTTGTAATTTTGAATATAATAATTAATTTAACTTTATATATATTATTTAGTAATTTTATCTTTGAATGTTATCCATTACTTCTTTTTTCAAATTTATATATATGTTCAAATAAATGCAAACAAATATGTAAGTCCAATATATCTAGTTTGAATAAACAAAATTAATGATTATATAAGAATTTGTTTTTTTTTTTAAATAAGTAAAATAAATATAGTAAAACTTTAAAAAAAAAGGTCCGAAATTATTTAATTACATAAAAAGTTATTTTAAGAACTCAACAAGTTATAAATAAAGTCTATTAGATATTTATATAAATGACTTTTTATTCTAAACCCAATAATTAATTGCATCATTTGTCACTTTGTCTTAGCTATTTAGTGCAACAAATTTTTATTTTTATTTTTTATTAGTTTTTTAGTCATTATATTATAACTTTTTAAAAAGTACTTTTAAATTTTAAAAAAAGTTTTCTTATATTTATTATTATAAAGATTTAAAAGTTATATGTAACATTGGATCCATTTCACAAAAGTCAGAATAGGATGTATATTTGGATGAAGCAAGAGAAGATTATTACAAGCAACTTGATGTTTTTTATTATTAAAAAAAAGTATGAACTTCGATATTTTATTCTTTCAGTCATAACTAAAGATATATTAAGTATTGTAATTACTACAATTACTTTTAAATTGATATTTAATTTGAGTGATAGAGTTATCAACTATCTTAGACTTCAAAATGCAAAATATTAATTACTACTCATAATTGATTGTATGAAAATGATATGTCCATGGATCAAGACGGTAAGATTTTGTTGTCTGATTATATTTTTCTTCATTTTTTATTTAATGATTATATGATTAATTTTATATTTTTTATTAAATGAAGAAGAAGATAAAATATTAGGATTGAGAAGGATTCTTGCGATGTTGAATTAATTGGATTAAGAATTTTTAATTGCAAATATTCTACTTTCTAGTTTTTTTTTTTTTTGATAAAAAAAGGTGAAAAAATTTTTAAAACAGTAACTGTGGTTGATTTGCTCGTAATTGGCAGGTTCAATTTTGGATACCAACGTGACATGATCTTGATTCATCTTTTAGGATATATGAAAACTTTGTTTAATTGATTTTAGGAATTCAACAACATTTTTTATTTTATTATATTTTGTTTGGATGTTGTATTACTTAATTTAGTTATTTAATTTTTTATCCCATTTTAAAAACTATATGTTTTAATTTATAAGATAATATTTTTATTCTCAAGTAAATTTAATATTTTAATATGTTTGAAACATTAAAAACAATATTATTGAAAGTTAATTTTATTAATAATGATATTAATTTTTTCCACAAAACAATAAATTCAATCAAATGTTAAAATTATAATATAATTTTTTTAATATTTAAATTTAAATTTAAATTTAAATATGGAATAAGTACAATAAATCAATAATATATTTTTAATGATTATTTTTATAATAAAATCAAAGTCAAATTAATAATATTATTTTTTATAGATAACTATTGTAAATATAATAAAATTTGTATTAAAAATTATTTGATATTCATATTTGGTGTATTTCAAATTAATTTTTTGTCATAATTGATTTTAAAAATTCAACATTAATTTTGTTGATGATATATTATAGATGAAATTATTCAATAATTAATAATAATAATAATTTCAAAATATAAAAATTTTTAGTTAAGAAAAATATTTTCATTTATTTATTTATTTTTTAAAATAAAATTATATAACCACAATTGAATTTTTGTGTTATAATTCGATTTTTAAATGGATTTCAAATCTGATTGAAATAATTCGAATCTTTACTGATTTCATGTTCAAGCCTTTGAATTTTTTTAGTTAATACAAGTCAATCTAGGTTGGATCACGAAAAATTCTTAGTTAATACCAGTCAATCCAGGTTTGATCACAAAAAATTCTATCACAATACATTAAGGTTTGAGCCAACTTTGTCAAATCAAAAGGTTGGGTAATAATGCGTTAAAAAGATGCAAATTAGAAGGGTTAAAAAGATGTTAATTAGACAAAATAATGGTTAAACATGACGGTATAGATCATTCTATTGAAGTGAAAAAAAAAAAAAAAATCACTCTTACATCAATTACTGATGGATTAATTTACATTTTGTTTTTAATCAACAATGATTCCATCTCACAAACATATATATATATATATATATATAAATCTTAAATGCAATCATTTGACTACAACTTTTATATAAGTATCAGAAGTAGTACAACTTGTTAAGTAAGAATTATTCATGAATTAAGACTAATTAACCAAAAATAGCTTTTGATCATTACTAATCATATTGGCATCAAGAATTTTACCACCATCCTCCGACAAAATGCAGGAACTATCACCACATTCTAACTCCACCTTCGCCGCCTTGATTAGTTCTTCCATGCTCTGCGGCACCCATAAGACAACTCCCTGTCTTCGCTCCTCTTTTTGATGCCATGGGTGAAATGGGAAAACCGTGCATTTCTTCTTCCACATCTCAGCTGTTATTGGCAAATATATATATATATATATATATATATATATATATATATATATATACCCACACACACACATATATGTTATTAGTCGCTGAAATTTTCATAAAATAACTCCACAAATAAATCACATCTCGAAACTAGAAAGATCATATGCTTGACATCCCTCACTTGACAATCAAATCTAAGTATCATAACTAATTGAGACTTTAGAGAGTATGCTCATAAACCATATAGAATAGATTCATCATGGTACAATACCTTACTTACTAGCTAGATTGTTTGATGCAGAAAAAGAAGTAAAGTGAACTACGGAGGAGCAAATGGGCCTGTTGTTTTTTTTCTTAGGTATAAAACTAGAAGGATAAGTGAAGTATGCATTTCAAAATTCTTGAAAGACATCAACAATCTTATGTTATAGGTTTAGCTAATTACATTATAATATTAATTTTATTAATTATGATTTATCATTAAGAAAATAACATTTAATTGAAGCTGTTTTCAGCTAGTAAGATGTAAGCTTTTGAAATATATTATTTTTTTGGAATAATTCTATTTTAATGAAAAACATTTATATTTGTGTATCCTAATAGACAAATCAAACCTTGTTAGCTGAAACATGATAGATGTTTTTTTACCGTCATACAACTGCATATATGTAAAGTTACAGATGCTTTAACCATCACACAACTGCCTATGTATAACTTTTTCTTTTTCCTTAATCATCAAATACAGCCTTCAACCTTACGACTTCTCATTTTCTGAAAGAAACACTAAAAAGGTTCTTCCAAAAAATTTTTTTTTTTTTTTTTTAAAAAGGAAGATACCAGAAGATAACCCAATATGTAGCAAAAGATTGCAATGGGAAGTATGCAGGCTACATAAACAACTCTCATATCTAGTTTATAATTAAGTTAAAGAATTGAGTGAAAAAAAAAAAATACATTTCACAATTCAAAGGCAATTTTGGCCCATCAAACCAAATGCATGACAAAGAAGAACAGAGAAAGAGAAAACAAAAACTCTCTGAAAACTGATTACTTTAGAATTTAAAAGAAGAGTGTTATTGTTCCCAGAGCAATATAAATTAGAGAACAAACTAGTGTTCAAGGATAGTGTTGGGATTCCAAATTAGTTCTATTGATTAACTTCCTGGCTTAATTTGAAAAAGGTCACTGAGATGGTAGATAAATTGGCTAGAATTTTAGTTTTAGAGAATGGACTTTCATGGCAAGTGAATGTTTCTTAGAACTCAAGGTCACAAACAGATCGTCTATACAAGCTATACAACTATAAGGTTTAGGTTGTACCTCGAATTTGTTGAGGACAATCAGAGAACTCAGTCATCTGAGAAGCTCTTGCAGCTTCAAGCAATCCAATCAAATTCCTATTTCCAACTATGTGGGCTTCATCAAGTGGAGTATTTCCCCATCTACAAACAGGAGTTGGCTTAACTAAACTTACCACTTTTGGAAAATTCTGACAGAACAGCAAATATCAAAGCACAAATAGAAAATAGCAACTATTAAACACCACTGGCACACAACTATGGTTCTTCTACTGACTGTTCTTATCTTAATTTTGGGATAAACATGGACCTTCTACTATTAACAAATTAGCAAATTGAAGAGTTTCAGGAACTGAATTGCTGATTACAACTATGATTGCCAAACATGGCTCATTCTATTTTTTAACAAAAGTACATGAATGAATAACTGGTTATAATTACACCAACAGCTCTAAAGTGTGAACCATCACAAGTTCCAAAACTCAGCATTGAGTGTGAACATGAAACATGTTCAACTAAAGCAACTTCCTTCTGAAATTAATTGAGACTAGTTTATTGGGTCATCACTTTTAGACCTATATGCCAAGTTCAAGAAACTGAGAAACATTGCAGTAGGTTTAATAATAGGGTCAAAATCATGCGTATATTATGAATATGAACCCTAAGGGAAAAGGTTTTCTCAATGAAAAATAATCATAAAATGCTAAGAATAATTTAAGAACACAGGACCTCTTTTGGTCCTGGAAAGACCGGATCAGTTTACAAATTATACCTGTCTTTTGAGAAAACGCTAGCTCCTGCTTCTAGAAGTATTTTGGCCACTAAATATAGCCCTTCTGAGGCAGCAACATGAAGCGCTGTTCGGTAATCATAACTTTTGGCATTTGGATCAATGCCACAAGCCAAAGCACGTTTTAGGAGATCCAAATCCCTTCTTGCAACAGTCATACAGAGAAAACCACTGGCATCATCCATTGTGAGTAATGCTCCCGCTTGAACAAGTAAAGAAGCAACTTGGTCATGCCCATGCTTGACAGCTTCAAGCAAAGGAGTGTTCCCAAACTTATCTGATAAAGATTTAACAAACTGTATTAGTAGATTTCACTGGAGGCAATATCCAGTTAGAAAATATGGCAATAATTCATGGAGGTAATTTACAGAAACATACCACATAAGAAACTTACCCGAAATGTTAATGTCTACTTTCTGTTCAATAAGAAAACCAGTAATTTCTTCATATCCTTTGGATGCAACAATATGCTGTAAAAGAAGAAGACACTTAAGACCATCATAAAAGAAGGTTCATATTTGTTATGTTAAAATGAAAATGATGCAAACTAAACCAAATACAAAAAAAAAAAAAAAAAAAAAACTCAAACCCTTGTCAGTTAAGTTGCAAAAGTAAAATCTTGGTACAACAACATATGCACAAGACAGAAAACAAGCGCACACATAATGAAATGTGTTTCCCCTACATGTTAAGACAACTAGGATGAATGAACTCAGTAAGATGATTACTCCTTCTTGAAGGTTGGTCAACAAAGTTTTATGGAGCTTGAGCTTTAATACAGCAATTTCGAATCTTGTATGCATCTGCTTGAGCTCCAGACAGCTCAGGTTGTTTATCTTGTGACTCAATTTTGACTGAGACCCGGGTTATCAGGCCACCAGCAATGCCAGAAACTCGGGTAAAATTGACAAACTTAAAATGGTTAAAAACAGAAAGACTATGCACTATCATAGGACCTCTCTGTTAAGCAGGGTCAAATGAAGGGCTTGCATTTCCATCACAATCACTAGATACGTAAGTAAATTGATATGGAATGAGAAAACTTTCCATCTCAATACTTGCATTCCACATATGCATCCAGTGCAAACATGACCAATCAACTACCGGTTTACTATCAACAAACATGACTAGATTCACAGTCATCCACTGAAATTTTACTTGTTTTGATTGCATACTTGAGATGTGTTTCTTTTTTGTTTGTTTCAGTCCTACTCTATGAGCTGCAAAACCACACTATACAGATCATTTGGGAAATGAAGTTATCCAGTTTGTTCCCTCTTGCAACTCATTTTATCAATTCCCTTTCTTCTACTCTTATGCAAGAGAGCATCTTTAAGCTTGTTACTTAAACAAAGTCCATAATTTATGTCTCTCCATGGCTGTCAATTACTTGTTTATTAGCAAGAAATAAATATAAATCTGATTCATACTTACAATTAGAGCTATGTAGTCAATACATATAAGAATGTTTTAAATGTAGGATTCCTGAAAGTTGAACCGCCTTTCAGGGTATGAGACACAAAAAGCTTAGATTCATCTGCCACATTGTTAAAAGACAAAGGAAAAACAAATCGCTAGTGAATTCCTATAACGCTACCAATTACAAGATTGCCTAGACCATTAGCAATATCATCATCAGTACAGTAGGAAACAGATTATACAGTCCTTTCTTGATGTCTTGCAGTGTTAAATGCATCCCAAGACTGAAAAAAGGGGATTTGAGAAGAAGGGTGGGAGGAATATAGGAATTTAATTGTAAAGAAGCCAAACTCACTTCAAGAGTAAGATACCTGGTTTGGTACTAACTAAATCTAGTCTAATAAATACACTATCCTTTCCCCATAATCTAAATCCTAGTAAATAAAAGGCAAACATACATAAATAATTTTCCAAATTTACCAGCAATGGTGCTGAAACTGATTAGATGTAATTTCACAATGCAAAAGACATGAGATCATTTTATAATACCTATACATTAGAACCTGAGATAATAGCACTAGAACAAATACTAAATATGATAGGTAATATTTAATTAGGGCTGTAAACGAAAAGAATATTCACTTGTCCAGGCTCAGTTCAGTTAAACTTTGACGATCATGAACATAAACAAGCTTTTAATCAAACTTGAAAATGTGTATTGAGACTAAGCTCGGTTTTGCTTACCGAGCTTTGAACACTAGCTCTACACTAACTATTTACTTAAACCAATAACAAAAGCCAAAAAAAAAAAAAAAAACTTTTATATTAATAAAAAAAGGGTTAAATCCCAATAGAAGATAATTATAGCCAATTAAAGCTCATGATCAAGTGGGCCAATGGCTGCTAGCTTTCAGATTTATCACTTTTTCTTGAGTGAATGGCTGGCAGGGGTTATTTAAAGATTCATTTCCCCTTTTATCTTGGCTGTTGTGCTGATGTGGGATAAATGTGCAGGTAAGTTTTCTATTTTTCAAATTTCTACATCTAAACTTATCTAAGTATCCATTTTTAAGCACATAAAAAATTATTTTATAATAAATTTTAAAAAGTTAAAGAGATAATTTTTATTCTATGTTATATATAACTTCTAATGATATAAATTTTATATTATAATTTATATATTGATAAAACATATTAAAGGTTAAAGTTGTCTAAGTTTCAATGGTTTAGACATTATAATCAAAATTGTTTGTGAAAATTAAACGAGTCTATTCGTGAGCATATACAAACTAAGCAGACCTTTGTTCATGTTTGTTTCATTTAATAAACAAATATAAAAATGTTGTTCAAGATTATTTATTAATCTTAATAAACGCACATAAACGAACAGAAATCAAAATTGTTCACGAAAATTTCGTTGAAAGCACTGTTTGTTTACACTCCTATATTTAACAATTAATCCCCATCATCATTTATTTCAAAACATTGGCATGATCTAACTTCATAAGACATAACACTATCTAAAACCTGAAGACTCTGTCCACCATATGCAATTTATGAATAGAATTATAAAATAAGTAGTACTTATAAACACAAACTCTCAAGATCTTTGAGGTATGAATTGAGAAAAACACCCACAAATAATAATACTTTAGCCAACAATTATGTGGCCGGTTGATAAAGTTTTGGAATCTTAGTTTTAGTGCTCAGGGTTCAAATTCTGTTATTTACATATGGTATTTTTGTGAGACTAGGGTTCATGTAGCATCTCAAGTTGTAGTTTCATTGCTTTCACTCACCATTTTCTCCATGAATAACTCAAATCATTTGAACAAACCATTGCACAGTATTGCCCCCAAAGCCATGTAGATGTAAACGGGAGCTTGTTACACATCCACATCATTAAAGAAATTATCTAGAAAACTTCTGTTCTTCTACTCTTCTAAGGTGGCCCTTTCTTCTTCCATTTTTATCTTGTGGGTGTTGTTGCCGAGGGAAAATGTTACAATAGAGAGTCAAAACATAGTACAGGACTCTTCACTTTATTGTTGTGGCACTTAATTTCAAATGGATTGATGCATTTATTTCCAATTTGAAACGGTTATACCCTCTTAAGATTTTCAATAATCTGAATCACCCTAATATATTTTTCAGAATACAGATTTATACTGTATAAGATATGAAAAGAGTATAGAACGGTAATATTCAGAAAAGCAGTCTTATGGTTTGAAAATATTCAAGGAAAACTTAGCTCACAAGAAACCATACCAAGGGTGATCTTCCATCATAGTCTGTCTTACTAGGATCTGCGCCAGCTCCAATCAGAAGTTTCAATCGATATAAATCTCCATGGTAGGCAGCACAATTCAACCTTGCAGCTAGTTCAGATTCAAGCTTTCCAATATAAAGGTTAACATCTGACTCCAATATTTCATTCTGCATATTGGAATCTTTTCCCTGTAAATCAAAAGACTTGTTTCGATGAAACTCAGTAAGTCACTCATTTCACAATTCTAGGCTAAAGAAAGGCACTCAAAAGTTTTTGCAGTCAATTAAGATGATAGTTATACAAATAAAATCATTACGATGATCAATATTTAAGGAAATAATGATCCAAAAGATGTGGTAAAAAAGGAACATTATTATTTGTGTTAATTCACCTCAAGAAGATTGTTCAAGATAATCCGTCCATCAAAGAAGAATATCTCAACCGTCTCTGTAAATGATCGTTTATCAAGTCGTAACACCCTACACAACTCACAAACTTGGATTGTGTAAGGCTGAGGAGTGTTGCAAAGGAAAGAAACTTCACCAAAAGAGCTAAAAGTTTGGAGATCCGTAAAGAGATCCCCATTTTCATCGTCTTTGCCTCTCCCTACTTCCACCTGTGCATATTTTTAAACTGTTAATTGCCAATGCTTACAAAATTAAAAATTAAACGGGACACCACTAAATGTAAAAGTTTAAGTCTAAGGAAATTGTGGTATGAACTTTTTCTAGACATCAAGTATATATTCTGTGGGAAAACACTTAGTTACAACTAGTTGAAATCTTGTAATCGGTATATTTATATTTATATCCCTAGAATTAAGGACAGAAAATTATGATAGACAATCCCTCAATTATAGGATTAGTTTTAGGAAGATTTAGTTTTCTAGTTTACCCTCTAGTTAGTTGTATATAAATCTAAGGTGCTTATATAATTCTTAAGAGTAGTTTTTCAATTCCTAATATTTCTGGTGCATATGAGGTCCCTCTACAATTCCTAATACTTCTGGTGCAAGGTGGTTTGTTTCTTTCATAGATGATTGTACTATGGTTTCTTGGATATTTTTACTTAAATCCAAATCAAATGTAAATAGTGAGTTTTTTAGCTTCCAAAACATGATCCAAAATCAATTTGGAGTAAAAATCAAGAGATTTAAGTCTGATAATGCAAGAGACTATTTCAACCAAAATCTATCTACCTATTTCCAAAAAAAGGGGATTATCTTTGAGTCATGTTAATACTCCATAACAAAATGGAGTGGCAGAGAGGAAAAACAACCATTTACTAGCCACAACCCAAGCCTTACTTTTTCAAGCAAACGTATCCAAATCCTACTGAAGGGAAACTATTATCACTACCACACACATTATAAGTAAGTTACCTTCAAGGGGTTTTGAGATTTAAAACTCCTATAAAACTACTCTCACAATTCTATCCCAACTTTTATACCACAAATAACCTCACACCTAGGATATTTGGTTGTACATCATTTGTTCATGTTCATAATCATAATAGGGGGAAGTTGGATCCTAGTGCAGTTAGGTGTATTTTTGTGGGGTATTCATCAACTCACAAAGGGTATAAGTACTATCGTCCTCCTACCAAAACATTGTGTCTACAGATGTGACTTGTGAAGAAAGTAAACCATTTTTTACTCAACCTTATCTTCAGGGGGAGACTTCATTCATGGAAGATAAGGATAGACTTTTTTTTACTTAACTTGTCCTCCTCCTCAGCATTTTCACACATTAATTCCTCTAAGTCTAAACCTATTTCTTCTGAGTCCAAGTCAAATATTGAATTTAAGTCTGAACCCATTCCAAACACAGAAGCTGTAACAAAGGATAATATTATTCTTGATTCTATGAAGGAATTACAATTGTACTCAAAAAAGAAAGTTCCAGCTCTTGAACCGATGTAGGTCCAAAAACTTGATCCTAACTCTAGAAATGAGGTAACTATAGTCTCTAACTCTATTTCTCAAAATGAGCATGAATCTCCTAAAAAATAACAAGTGATTATGATTTGGCTATTTCCATTAGGTAAGAAACCAGAGAATGTACTAAGCATCCATTATACCCAATCTCTAATTGTGTCATTTGAAAAATTCTCACCATTCCACAAAAATTTCCTTGTGAGCCTAAACACTATTTCTATTCCAACTATATTATCCGAGGCATTATCCAATGAGAAATGGAGACAAACTATGAAAATAGAAATGGAGGCCTTAGTGAAAAAGAACACATGGGAACTGGTAGAGTTGCTTAAAGGAAAAAATCTAGTTGGGTGTAAATGGGTTTTCATTGTAAAATACAAGACGAATGGTATTGTTGAAAGGTATAAGGCCAGATTGGTGGCTAAGGGCTACACTCAAACTTATAGAGAGGATTATCTAGAAATTTTTGCTCTAGTTGCTAAGATGAATACAGTTAGGACTTTGTTATCCTTGGCTGCAAATTTCAATTTGCAGCTTCAACATGTAAAGAATGCTTTTCTACATGGTGATTTGGAAGAAAAAATATATATGAAGTTTCCACCAAGATTTGGAGGTCATCTAAAAGCAAACACACTATACAAGCTGAAAAAGGCTTTATATGGCCGTAAATAGTCTCCTAGGGCTTGGTTCGGGAAATTTGCCAAAGTGATGCTAGTAATGGGATATAAGCAGAGTTAAGGAGATCACACATAATTTATCAAGCACTAGGATTCAGGAAAAATCACAGTTCTATATTAGTGTATGTTGATGATATAATTGTAACTAGAGATGATGGCAAAGAGAAAGAATTTCTAAATCAGTGTTTGGCTAGGGAATTTAAGATAAAAGAGCTAGGGAGATTGAAGTACTTCCTAGGAATTCAAATACCTCACTCACAGCATAGTATTTTCATCTCACAACTAAAATATGTGATAGATCTTTTGAAGGAAACTAGGAAGCTCGCATGTAAACCTGCAAATACCCCTATAGATCCTAATCATAAACTTGGAGAAGCTAATTAAGATGCTATTGTAGGTAGAGAGATGTACCAGAGATTAGTCGAAAGACTCATTTATCTCTCACATACTAAACCTAATATTGCATATGCTGTGAGTGTGATAATTCAATTTATACATAGTCTTAAAAAAGTGCACCTATAGGCCGTGTATTACACTATTCGAAGGCCAATCTAGGGAGAGGTATCTTATTCAAAAGAAATTCGGGGCTGATTCTAGAGGTATATATAGATGCGGATTATGCAAGTTTGATAACAGATAGAAGATCCACCTCAGGCTATTGCACTTTCCTAGGTGGTGATCTTGTGACTTGGAGGAGTAAAAAACAGAATATGGTGACAAGATCAAGTGCTGAAGCAAAGTTTAAAGCAATGGCTCAAGGAATTTGTGAACTATTGTGACTAAAGATTATCTTAGAAGACTTAAAGATCAAGTGGGATGGACCAATGAGACTTTACTATGATAACAAGTCTGCAAGAAGCATTGCACACAATCCTATGCAACATGACAAAACAAAACACATTGAAGTAGACCAACATTTCATAAAAGAGAAACTAGACAATGGGTTGATTTGTACATTGTATGTATCAACCAAAGATCAACTTGCAGATGTGTTGACTAAAGGTCTCAGTAGTGTAACATTTCAAGAAATTATTTCCAAGCTAGGAATGAAAAACACCTACTCACTAACTTGAGGAAGAGTATAGGAAAACACTTAGTTATAGCTAGTTGTAATCTTATAATCTGAATATTTATATTTGTATCCCTAGAATTAAGTATTTGTATCATTATAATTAAAGATAAAAAATTAGGATAGATAATCCCTCAATTATAAGATTAGTTTTAGGCAGATTTAGTTTTCTAGTTTACCCTCTAATTAGTTATATATAAACCTGATGTGCTTGTATAATTCTTAAGAGCAGTTTTTTAATATACATTCAATTTTACTCTTAGTTTTCCACAGTTTTATTTTTTAGTTTTTCCACATATTCAACATTATTTTATGTCCCAAGTAGTAATCAAGGCATCTTAAATTTAGAAATATTGTTAGCAAAAAGTTCTAAAATGGATTGGTCTAAGTACTTTTAACCTAATAAAAAAATATATATCCAGTATAATGTATTGTACATAAAATTTATTGTGCTTTTCTTCTTGAGATTGGATTTTATTAGAAAATGTCAATCTTCTTAGATAGAGAGTTAAATTTTACACATCCATTAGTTATTATAGAATTCCACCTTTTTCACATATGATGCCAAGGCTAATTTTTAAAAATTAAACAATAAATGAAAATTTGAACAAAAAGATTTCACTTCCGATTATTGTAGCAAGGCATTGTAGCATGGATTTGCAGCACAACTGTGTTTACAGTTTACCTAACCATAACAGATTTATTTTTAAAGGCTTTATGTGTTTTTAGTTTTTTTTTTTTTTTTATATAACTTTGGGCAGCTTTAATTAAACTTATTTTTAAGATAAAAGTTCTATTTTACTAAAGGATTTTATGTTATACAAAGAACTTTTCCTTCAGTTTTATTGGCAATAATGGAAGTATCCAAGAAAGACTTATCTTCTATTCCCTGGCCTTAAATATTAGAAAATCAGCCCTTGAATATATAACTGATCTATATATGTCTCTCTTCAGCTGTTATTGATCTAGATTTGTTGCTTACACAAAATTTGGCATTGATGCCTAAGAAACTTATGTGTCGGCAGAAACAACAGCAAGAGTTTCTTGGATGAATCAAGTCAAGCCTAGAAGATATTGAAACTGCCAGTATAAAAAGCCAGATAATGGAAATAATCACCAATCATAACTGACAAAGAGGGAACTGATTCAAGATCCCTAAAATTTTTTCAGTAAATATTTTATTGGGACAGAAACAACTTGATAAAAAAATATTTATATTAAGATATGCATTCTTTTAAAAACATAACTGAAGACAACAGCATAGAGTTGGTTGAAGAAAATCTTACCACTTTTCCATGACAAACAATATAGAGTTGGTCAACTACATTTCCCTGTTCAATAATCACTTCGCCCGGAAGAAAAAACTCCTCATGGACTTTAATTGCCTGACAAATCACAAGGAATGATACATTTCTTTAAAAATAATTGCTATGAAGCCCAAAACTTGGTGCAATTTTAGAGACTGAAACATCATGGAGAGTTCTAAATTGCAAAAGAAAGAAAGAAATATAATAATATATTATACATAACTAAATATTTGAGGCACATGGTTGATGCCACTCATCTCACACAAAGTAGGGAACAAGAAGTTCCACTTTTCATTAACTGATATTCAACTTAAACTAAATAATACATTGAGACAGGTCAAGAATTGCAAGGATGCTAGTATTGTGCTTTTTATTATATGGGGAAAGTTCTTTCACAATTTCACATCTTAGAATACCCATTTTAGTGTAGGGAAATGTAAAGAAACTCTAAAGCATCATTCAAGTTAACTGTTCTATGAATATTTTAATGATAAATTTAAGGGTGGGTTCATCAAGTTGTTATAACTTGAAAATCATGTTCTTCATGCCACAGCCCACATTCAGTTGAAGGTTTCCCAGCTTTCCATCTAGAGTTATAAGTAGACTTGAGTTCAATTCTGCATCACAAGTCTCATCAATGTTAGAGGATTATGGATAATTGACTATTTAGACAAAGAAAACCATTTGCTTAGCAGTACCATTGTCATGCTACTACAATTGGCCCTGCTTTTAAATTTTTAACTCACATATTATCTAACTCATTGCAATCAATACCACAATTTAAATGTCACCTCTAACTCCTAACAAACCAACCCTTTGTCACCATTGCCACAGTGATTTTCTTTTTTTTCTTTCCCTGAGCTCCCATATCCTTAAAGCACTCAAAAGTAGTTTCATGTCACATTCCATAGTACCACACTCTGCTCCTATCAATGAGAGTCAGTTTCTGGTAAATACCAAAAGGTCTAGAGAGATTTGGCAAGAGCACAGGCTCAACTTATGAGAATTAGACAGCAATCAAAGCTAGGTCCAACGGTTGTTACCTCTGCTTAGGAGGGATAAGGCCTAAGGTTTGAACCCTTCTCCCCCCTTGCACTTCCATCCCAAAAGAAATGAATGAGGTTTATACAAAAGTGCTAAAAGGTAAGGCCTTAATTTAGATGTTCTAAACCTAACCATAATCAGGTAAAGACCCTTTGCTCCAAAATGTTCTTCAACCTTTTATTGTTGATACATATCTCTTGATGGCAAGCTCAGTTTAGTTATAATCAGTTTCTACTTTTTATATACACATCACTCAAGATTATAGCAACTGATTCTACGAAAATGCATCTCTACATCTGAGGAAATAATTGTGTGGTCTTTAACAATCTCCACTTTGCAGCCTGCTTCTGAGTGTCCTTGTCCTTTCCATGACATTCTTTTACCTTAAAGAGCTACTTCATGTATATCTCCATGCCTTTGGCTCATTAAGAATTCCTTTTTTGACAGGCTCACTAAGGCCCTCGATCTTGCAATCTGAATACAACACTAAAACAACAAAGCTCCCAACCTATACTATACCATTAATCATAATTTCTACCTAAAAGTAAATATTCTTTCACCATGCTTTTGTGTGATAACTAACCTCAGTTAACCGTTGCATCTAATTGTTGTTCAGCATACCATTTGTGTTCAGTGTTAGAGTATAAAAAACAGAAGAAAACCATAAGGAAAATGAAATGGAAGAAAAAGAACCAAAAAAGGGGGAAAATAAAGATACAAATCGACTGATTTTCTTTTTCTGTTCTTATTATCTAAGGTAAAGTTAGAAGATAAAGAATACAATTTATAAAGAATAGCTGAAAAAGTAATTGTTCCTCTTTTGTTATCTTTCACTTTTCTATTCTTTCTGAAGTTTTATGTGCTTGATCCAAAATCCATACATAGTGCCATTGTTGTGAAAAAGTGTTTCTACAACAACCATTGCTATTTGTATGGTAGTAATTTGTTCATCAACTTGTAAGCTAACAGAGAATGTAAAGATGGATCACCAATGCATTCACAATCAGAATTTCATTTTATTGACTACCCTTAATTTTTGTTTTATGTTCACATCAAAATGCTTTCATCTTTTCTCCTTAATCTATTGGCATACTGGCACAATAAATCCTTGAGCACTAGACGAATAGAAGCTAGTTTGTTGAAGTAAGAGTTGTGGTAACCAAAGCCTATAACGATCCTCCAAATTGATGCATTACAAGTTATAATTGACCACACGATCAACATAGCTGAAGTCATTTTTTGATTAACGCATTTTTTGGAAAATTAATCTAAGAGAAAGATAGTTCCATGACAAACTATGGTATGTGAAAACAAAGGGGTCACTGGAAAAGATGGAGGCCTAGGCAATTAGAAGAACTAAGGGTAATGGACTTGACCTAATCCATGACTGATCAACCATATTGATAAATTTCCTGACAATAAAGCAAACTAAAATAAAATGAACACCATTTGGTCCTATGCTAATCAAAAAGCTACTCATATATGCAAATAAAATTGCTTACAATCTGCTTAATGAATCCTGTTGAGCATCCCTTGAATAGAGAAACTTCTTTGATGAATGGCTCATATAATTTCTGTGAGATCTGTCAAAAAACATAATTGATTGTATAGTATGAGCATAAACCATCACCACCAGACATCTGGAATGTGGAAAGCACAACCAACCATGTACATGAGTTCCCAGAAAAACAATGACATAATAGCTAAAAGATGCAAAATGAACAAATACACATCCAGAACTGCTGCACAGATTAATCTCCTTACCACTTTTTAATCGTCCTCAATAATTGTCAGAAAATCTCATTGTTTAACTCAAAATTTCTCAATATCAAAGATGTCAATAATCAAAACCTAACCTCCAAGCATAATAAAACCTATGTATAATACGCACACACACACACACACACACACACACATATATCTCTCTGTGTGTGTAAGCTTCATAAACCCACGTTTTAAGTAGTATTTTCTGGTTGCAACAGTTACAGTACTCTTCCCTAAACTCTAAATTCTACTGAATTCCCAAAGTAAGAAAGCTTCTTCTGAGCTTTCATGATATTTTCAATCTTTTACCAAAATTAATATCACAATGACAATCAAGAGAATAAGTAAGAGTTAAGGAATTTCATAGGACCGAAAAAACTACATAAGGCAAAATGAGGATAAAAGATCAAGCCAGGTGTAAACAGGAATCCAGGCAACACTGAGCCAGATTCCACTACAAAGACTACAAAACTGCATGTTCGACTATAGCCATTACTATCGAGAGTAAAAAGAAATAGCTTTAACCATCTGGTTCCACATAAATTTTAAAGTTAGCTGTTGAACATTGCATCAAAGAGTGTAAGTTTGATATAATTATGTAAAAGAATAATCAGTCTTTCCTTTTAGCACAAAGCTTATTATCTAGAGCAATTTGCTGGTTTTTTTATTCATTTATGTGATTGTTTAGAAGAATGACACAGCACACAAAAGGTGTAACTAATTACCAATCATAATTGTGGTTTCTTTAACGGAAGACAATTTTCTCATGAAAAACACAAAAGTTGCTATTTTATGTGTTTATAAATTATGAACATAGAATTGCTTTGTTTTTGCAACATCTTCCACCTAATCTTACAATTCAAATTAACAACCATATTTCGATTAAAGCCATGTTTCCAAATATGGAGATAGCTCCAGAAAATGATATGCCAACATGTCCACAGACTTTGGGGATACAAGTCTCTTGCCAGGTGCATGGGGCTCCTTAAATACAAGGCAATGACATTACAATTCAATTTGGATGATTAATATGCATTTTTTTTTCTTTTTTTTCTAATAGTTTAAGTTTTGGAAGCATCACAACTGTTCAATACATGAAAATATGATGGTTATTCACCTCTTTAAAAGGTGTAAAGAAAAGCAGAAACCATTTAGCTTCATCTGCACTTTCAAACAGAATTCTTGAAGAATCAAAATACAAGTTACCATATATAAATATGTAATATTTTGGCAAGCTGCTGGTCTTGTGCACAATGCCTAAAAATGAGACAGAGTTCAAATGAAACATAAAAAATGGAGACCAAGGATATAAAACTAGAGATCGAGTCTAATCCTCGCCTATAGGGAAAATTTTATGCTGACAAGAAAAACACCAATAATGTATGTTAGGAACCCAGTGCATTAGATATGCCACAGCACTTAAAAAGGGACCCAAGGAAGGGCAGCAAATGAGGATATACAATTGATATTGAAAATAACTTATCGATGAACCAAAGTACTCAATTTTACCGTAAAGCACAAGCCAGTTTGTTCATGCTACATTGACATAGAGAACAAGTATAAAGGATAATCTTTTATTTTCCTAAGAGAAGAAAACAATTTCACATAACCAAATATATATGCAAAACATAAAGCAGTTTGTTAAGCCATGAAGTTTCTAAAGAAAGGTTTTGCTAGGTAAAACATTACGGATAAGCTTAAAAGCTAAGATACTAGGACATACGGAAAGCTCATTTCAGCAGTAGATTGAGAACTTGAGCTGCCTATTATTCAGGATTAAAAATTACCTTAGTGCGAATAGAAGCTGGAATATCTTGAAGAACAGTTGCCTCAGTATAGCTGCGATCATACTGTAATTTTAGGTGGCCTTTAATCTCCTTACTTATTTGCTTTTCAAGATTATTTCTATTCATGTATTTAATAAGGTCAGTCATTTTATCCCTAAATCTTTCTGTCTTTGATCCTTTTACTATCAATGCTGCCATGTTACCAAGCAGATAAGCACCAAGAATCATGTCAAAAGAAACATAAATCATGACAAATATCATCTCTCTGACATTGACAGCATGTACGTCTCCATAGCCTGCAGAAGAGAGGACATGATCAACAAGGAGAATAGAGCGTCCCAAGTAATAAGGAGCCACTACCACTTAATATTGTCAGAAACAATAAAACAAATGTACAGTGGTTATTACTAACAAGACCATTACTGTGTACCATAAAAAAGGGATGAGATATTTAAAAGTGTGCCCAAAACAAGATCTAGCAACTAACTTTTTGACAAGTATGTATGTAAGAAACCAATATCAAACAAAGAAAAATCAAGCACATGGAATTCTCTTTAAGAAAAAAAAAAAGAGAAACAGAGTTCGTTAGATCTAACCAAAGGGCACCTTGTAAAGCACAAGCATCATGTAGAGGCATTATTAAAATCTATTCAATGGTTATAAGATCATCAACATCCTTAACATAAAGAATCGTTATGTGCAATATGATTCAACCAATTATTGATACTTAGCGCTTTCACTCATCCATTGTTTGAAGAAATGCAAACTATTAGGAAGGATGAATCTTTAAAAAAAAAAAAAAGAAACCCAAGTTGTATGATGATGCTAAATAAAGTTGAGAAAACAATAAATAATGAGTTACAGTAATATAAAACATAAGAAAAGAAAATGTTGAAGTGAATCACCGGAATGATAAACAAAATCAGGAATCAAAATGTTATCAAGAGCAATCAAAGCATCTGCATTCACCCAAACTCTCCTAATGGAAATTAAACAAAGTGAAAGGACCTACCAACGGTTACCATGGTAACAATGGCAAAATAGAGAGATACTATATAACGCTTCCAGAAATCAATCTCTCTAAAATTTGAATAATGATATTCACCCATCTGTAAACTTCCTATCCATGTGTAGCCTTCCTTGGAGGGAGGAACTGTAGTAGCAAGATAGTAAAAGATGCAACCAGCTGCATGCGTGCAATAATATTCAACAACAAGAAGCTTCACAATCCTGATGAAAAGGTAATTGATCCGAATATCTTTCTCCAACTTCTCAAAAAACTCTGTCACTCGCAAAGCCCGACTTAGCCTAATCCATAGCATGTATCTAATAGGCTCGTTTCGCTCACAGACCTGGTCAGAGTAAAAGGACTTGAGATCACTAATCATCATACACATTCATAAATACTTGGATAGGAAGGCGAGTGTTTGATATTGTTATGTGTCCCACACGGTACTTTCTAAGTTTTTCATATATTTTTAAAGGGAAAAAAAAAGCAACAAAAATTAGTAAGAAATGGGTACCTTGTAAATAGCATCCCAGGGCAAACATCCAAGAAAATCAACAGTAAAACGGGATTTCAAGTACCTGTAGTTTCAATAAGAAAACAGAATGAATGGTTTTAGTAGCAAGGAAAGAGGAATGGAAGGAATATCGAAGAGAGAGATAGAGAGAGACCTGAGGGCGATGAGCTTGCGATCGCAGACCATGCGGTAGGAGTGAGGGTCGCGATAGGCAAGGAAGAATCGGACAACAATGTCGAAGAGAAAAGCGACCTGGCCAGCGATGTCCAAGAGGAAAAGATTCTGCGGGAGTCCTCTGAAAAAGCCGAATTCCAAGGGAGTAAAGAAGGAGGAGTATATTGCCCATACGAGTATGAAATGCGTCCACACCACGTACCACCTGCGTTTGCATTTCGCTACTCCACTCAATTCTCAATTTTTAATTCATCCATCAAACCATACAAATACAATACGAGCGCCTCAATTTTGCACTTTCCCCTTTTGCGTTACTGGGAACTCGGAGCTCATAAATCAGAATAAAAATCTTTTTCAAAATATAAATAAAATAAAGTTTTAATTAAACTATTTATATTAAAAATTTTACAAATTTTACCTATAGAATTTCATTTAAAATTTTCTCAGTATAATCAATAAGATGGACAAATTCACATATCTCCCCCCACACCCTGAAAATCCAAAATGAAAACAAAAATCATTCTATCACTTCTCCCTCTCTCTCTCTCTATTTTATTTTTTTTTCCTTTTTTTCCTTACACCTCATTCTTTCCTTTCTTATTTAAATGCTTAACAAATTAATAATAATAATAATAATAATAGTATTAGTAATAATAGTAGTAGTAGTAGTAGTAGGCATATTGCATGGTGAAATGGCCTATCTAACTTTTATATAAGAGTATAGATTTATATTTATATATATATTTCAAAATTATGTGTTCTTTCTTTGTTTTTTATATAATTCTTATTTTATTTTTATATTTCAAATTTATTTTTCCTAAACATATATTGTTTTATTTTTTGGCATTAGACGATAAGAAAATTTAATTCTATAAACGAAAAGTTAAAAAATTTTGATATGAAATAGACTAAATTTAGAAACAAAATATTAAACTTTGAGAAAATCGAATATGAAACACACAAAGCAGAGGTGAAGGAGTTTCTGTCCCGTCAATGGCTATTTGATGATAAATGATGAACGATAAATTCAAATCAAAAGTAATAGAAGTTACCAGTCATCAGGATAAATGATGAATCCATGTGGACGAGAAGCCCCCCTGCTACGACTAACATTGTCCCTGTCAAGTCCACTCCAGCTCGACTGATCATTTTTCAACAGTGAAAAAATCCTCTTACAAGTAAATGGTCTTTTTCTCGACTCCTCAAACTCTTCATCCTCCGACTCCTCACCCCGTCCCCTTGCTCCTCCACGCATCCTCCTCGGCCTAAGCTTTTCTTCTCTCTTAGCGACACACTTTGATTGGCAGTTCTCAGAGTAATTAACTCAAACTAGACAGATTCTGTTTTCTCAAGTAATTTGGAGAAGAAAAGTGAATGAATTTCCAGTACTTGGCGTATGAGCTGAAAGGAAAACCAAAACTTGAGGCAAAAAAGTAAAATTCCAGCGGTTGGCAATGGCATTGAAGTAAGAATAAGAATAATTTTTTCCCATTGACAACAGAAGAAATGACTGCAACGACTGAGGCATCTTATATTTTCTTGTGCATTATTCGATTGAAATTCGGATGATAAATTTAGGATTTAGAAAAGCAAGTTTGTGGTGACAAAACGAATCGCAGCACAGTTTTTAGACAAACACGAATCTATCTTCTATTATGGTACAGCTTTTAGACAAACACAAATCTTTCTTATATTATGGTAAAAGTGTGATTTAGATTACCACTAATGGGAATTATGTTTTATAGTAATGGAAGCAAATTAATTAAAGTCCAATATAATCCAAAAATAATTTTATTTTGAAAGAAATTCCATCATCCAAAATTATTAAGAAGGCAACCGTATTTGCTATAAGTTAAAATTTATTATTAGTCACCCCATTATGGTCATATTTTTAAAATGGTGATCAAACTATTAAAATTTTCAATTTAATTATTAAAATTTGAGTAAATATTTTTTATCACTCATTGTTAATCTTTAACAACGTACTAATCCGACATGATAATATGACATAATTTGTCATGTGCTATGTGATCTTGCATGTCATCCGATATGTTGCATGACATTATAAATTAAAAAAATTAAAATTTTATTGACATAACAATGTCATATTGTACTTGACAATTGATGTGGCATTGGCATGTCAGCACATCGTTAGAGATTATTAGTAGGGTGACAAAAAATACACTTACTTAAACTTTAATAATTAAATTGAAAATTTTAATAGTTTAATAACCATTTTAAAAATACAATCATAATTAAATAACCAATTATATAATTTATTTGATACCATATATAGTTTTATCTTTAGCTCTATGAGGATAAGAATAAAAAAGGGTTAATTTGTGCATCCTCTTAAAATCATATGTAATATTATTACTACAGCCATATTTCAAAATAGCTAAATAAATTGGTTAAATTTATCAATTAGGTTAAGATATAAAATTTTGTAAATTATGCAAAATTTAAATACTAAGATATTCTTTCAATTTTCCATCTCAAAATTTGATTAAAATACTATGAAATTAAATTTAAACTTTTTATTAATTAAGTGCAAGGGTATTTGTCTTTAACCAAAGCAAATTGTTAATATTTATCTTTGAATTATATTATTTAATTAAAAATAAAAGAATAACAGCCAATTAACCCTTGGCTTTGTGATAAAGAATAGGTCCTAAACTCAAAAAGAACTTGTTCTACAAGATTTCAAGGTTCATTTTCTTGTTCCTCAATATTAGTTGATTGTTTTGCATGGAACTCAAGTTATTGTTACTTAAACTTTTAGGCAAATGATCAAAGGTAAACTAAGAGATATTTGAAGTTTGAGAACAAAGAAAATAAAACCAAGGAATGCGGTTGCAAATGCCAAACTCAAAAGTCCTCAAAAACCATACAAACCTTGAAGCTTACATCATCTAGTTGGATTGGGATTGCATGGAACCTTTGTTTAGCCTTGATCTCTTATTGATTCGGATATCCTAATTGGATTAGAAATTGAGAAATTAAATTTGTTTAGGTTCCTAATCAAATTAAAACTCCTAAATGATTTAAAATTTCTAAATAAATGTTTGAAGGTTGAGAATAAAAAAAAAATAAAACCAAGGAATGTGGCTGCAAATGGCAAACCTAAGAGTCCTAAAAAACCATACAAACCTTGAAGCTTGCATCTTTTAGTTGGATTAAGATTGAGTGGAACCTTTGCTTAGCCTTGATCTCTTATTGATTTGGGAATTGAGAAATTAAATTTTTTTGAGGTTCCTAATCAAATTAAAACTCCTAAATGATTTAAAATTTCTAAATAGACATAGAACTACTAATCCTAATTTGACTAGGACTTCACTATTAATCTTAGTTTGACTAGGATTTCTCAATACAAGTAGTTTGATGAAATTTAATTAATGAGTATTCTTAAATTGTTTAGGACTTGTATGACCATATTAGATTAAGAATCCAAATTGAATTAATCATCCTAAATGGTTTAAATTAATAATTGCAATACAACTACTAATCTAATACATACTAAGAAATACAAGTAGTTATGAATCCTAATGCTTGTTTGGAACGTAATAGTGAGTTATTTGGATCAAACAATATCTTGCATCACGAAGTTTCATTTAATATAGTTAATATACGATATTAGAGAGCATATCACCTACAATAAAATGTACTACAACTAATCAATCAAAATTTAAAGTTATGTAAAGTCATTTAAAATATTATGTGAGGTCCACACTTATAAGTGATGGACCCTTACATAAATTTTATTGTAATTGGATAATTGTAGGATTGTAGGAAAAAAAATTGTAGGTGAAATGCTCCCACGATATTAATATCAATTCAAAAAGGAGCATGTAAGACAATGAACTAAAATTAAACATGCTTACTTTCATATTATGCGTATAAATGTATGATTAGTTAATTATGGACCATAATCCTTTCTTAGATGAAAAGATGATTATTTGCTTTATGGTATTTATGAAATAAAACATGTATGCTTAGCATAGTTTCTATTATTTTGATATCATGATTTTTTTTTTAAATGATGTAATGATACATAGGTTTAAATTGAATATAATTAGCAAACCCTAGAATAGAGGTTTAAGGCATTAAGGGGATTAGACATATTGAACTTTGAAACATTAATTAATGCAATCCCTTAGGTTTTAATCATTAAAGCTCATTTTAATGGCTTAAAGAAAGCTTGTTTAGTTGAAGTCCATAATTATTTTAAAGTATCATGTATGTTAGGGCTTATATATATGTAATAAATGATAAATGTTTAGCATAACTATATGGTATGCATGATAGGATTTATATATACGTGTGTTATATGTGATAAATGGCAAGCATGTCCATATTGCAAGCATGATAAGATTTATATATGTGCATGCATGCAATTTGACCTAAATAAATTTAATGATCAAATCTGTCAATAAATCAAATGTGTTAGACATGATTAAGTTATCTTTGATGTGATATAAGAAAACATGATTTTTTATTTTAAAGCTTATTGAGTAAACTAAAGGTCTTATAATTGAAATGTGGATTTTGTTATGATTTGGATCACACATGATCATATAATTTTAAAGGCAATGATTGGACTAATCACATATGTTGTAATTAGATAAAAAATTGTAACCTATTGATACTAAGAGTCATATGTGGATGTGATTGATAGGTAAAGTCATCTACCTAATTTACTTATTATAATTTGTTGATTAAACTCAAGGTTATGGTAAACTAAATGGGATTCTAGTCTACTAAGAAAAATAAATTTTTTCTCAAATTAATAAAATGGCTACTAATTTGAAAATAATAATGGGAGCAACTAACTTTAGATTTATATTTTATCTAAATTAGTTTCAAACAATAAGACTTACACTTGTTTGCCCTTTTACATAGGTTGTTAGAAAAGTAAGTAGTAACTTATCTCTCATAGCATACTTAATGCTAATAAGCTTATTAGGCCAAACTTCAATGACTGTTACAATAATCTTAAACATGTCCATATGCAAAAAAGAATGTTTTGTATTCTTGATGAAATAATTCCTAAAAAACTGATTATTAATGATGGGAAAAAAGGCTTAGAAAGCATACGAAACTCACTTGATAATGCAACTTAAGCATCATGTATCATGAAAACAAGTATGACTTATTAGTTGTAAAGACAATATGAAAATATTGATATACCAACTATAATCTTGCATCTAAAATAGTTGTTTGACAAACATAGTCGAATTAGAAAGTTTGACACCTCAAAGCAATTGTTTAGTAAGAAAATGTTAGAAGGCTTTTTGGTTATAGTGCATTGCCTTAAGATGATCAATTCGACCGAGAAACTTGGGCAATTAAGGTTTGTAATGGATCATGAGTTAAGTGTTGATTTTATCCTATCATCTATATCTAATAACTTTTCTCAAATTGTAACAAATTTCATCATGAACCGTTAGAAGTCATATTACCTAAATTAATGAAAATGGTAGACACCACCAAGAAATTCATAGAGAAGGATAAATATGTTGTACTTATTATTTTTTCTACTAAGATTAAGAAAAAGGTGTTTAAGAAGAAAAAAAGACAAAAAGAGTGCAAAGAATGACAAATCCTATAAGGTTGTAAAGCCTTTTGGTAAGGTTACAAAGCCTTCTTGTGACATCAAGAAAGATAAAGCTAATGGTTCATATTACCAATATTATGAAAAATATGGTTATTGAAGAGAAATTACAAGCTTTACTTAGAAACTTTGAATGAGAAGAAGCTTGTCATTTATGGGACAAATTGAAGGAACTAGAGAAAATTATAACCAAAATTTCAACATAAATACAAAAAACTTAAGTTAGATAACCCTAATCAATCACGTATGCCATTGCAGACTCAGTCATATCAATAAAACTAGAATCACTAAGTTACATAAAATAGGATACGTTAATCCTTTTGATTATGAATCATATAAAACTTGTGAATCTTATTTGTTTGGTAAGATGATCAAATCACCTTTTAGTTGAAAAAGTGAAAAGGCATATGCATTACTTAAACTTATACATCTGATGTATATAGACCAATTAACATCAATGATAGAGAAGGCTATGTTACTTTATCACATTCACAAATGACCATTTTGGTATGGTTATGTGTACTTGATGAAGCATAAGTATGAATCTTTTAAAACGTTCAAAGTATTTAGAAGTGAGGTTCAAAAACAAATCACCAATGTTATTTTAGCACTTGCATCGAATTGAGTTAGAGAATACTTGAGTCAATAATTCTTGTGTCATCTAAAAGAAAATGGTATACTCTCACAATGAACTCTATTGAGAACATCACAATATAATGAATTTTTTTTTAAAAAAAATCAAACCTTATTGGAGATGGTTGTATCCATGACGAGAAATGCTAATCCTTACATCTTTTTTGGAGTATGCATTTAAAACTACCATTTACCTTATGACAGTGTTCCATCCAAACCTGTTAACAAAACATCATATAAGATATTGAGTGGTAAGAGACCAAATTTCTCACACTTAAGGATTTTGGGGTATGATGATA